CATGGGTTTGACATTCAGAATGGCTTAGTGTTAGGGTTAGCTCTGACCACAGTGTACAATTCTATGCAGGTGCTGACCACACAAAGTGAAATTCACCTCAGTAGGGGCTGGTGCCTGCTGCAATTTCTTTTCAATATGCCATTTTTGAAGCTAACTTGACCCTGCCCTGTTGTTATCTGAAGTTGGTCATTGTCTTATTGTTTTGGGAGCCTCTTGGGAGGGACTCTGGTGCAGAGCAATATCAGACACTGCTTGTGACTGGCTCTGAGTAGCCTTTTTGATGCTACAAAGCAGTCCACAGTTTGTGGGTGCCTCTACTGGGCCTGTGTGTGCATTGGAAGGATGAAGCTGAATCACCAGGTAGGGGATAGTTGTGTTCACCAGATTGATAGTTCAAATTCAGTGCCAGTGATTGGATTGAGGCCACTCAGAAAAGTCACAAGGTATATCAAGTCTAGCTGCCACCCCCAGGTGCCAGCAGACCTTTGTGGTGGGATAGGGTCTCAGAGTCATCAGGGTGAATCCTACAGAGTTTATCAGGTCCAAAGAGACCAAGAGTTGACTATGTAAAGGGAGGGCTCTGCACTGATCAGATGTGTAAGGGAAAAATTTCCCCTATCCGAAAGCTACAAAACTCAGTCTGCTCCAGATTCTGCCAATAGCCCAAGCTTACCAGGGCAGGACTGCTGGGAATCATGAAGGTTGAACTAGTAGACATCCCATGAGGGAGTGGTGCTGGTCAGTCTTGTGGGAAGGTTGGGGTAGTGGCCCCTAACCCCAGAGCCACACTATTCAGTTTGTCTTGGATTATTCCTAGAACTCCTGGGGAGCCCATGTTCATCAGGGCAGTGGCCACAGGATTAGGGAGGGTAGGGCTACCCAGAGCCTAAAGTGTGGGGCTAGAGTATCTCCTGTGAGGGTTAGGCACCTGTCAGGTTCACCAGAAAGTGTGCATAATGGGCTCTACCTCAAAACCACAAAACTCACTCACTGGCAGCCTGAGTCTGCCCAAATCTCTACAACCAACCTTGGCAACTGACACTTCCACAAGGTGATGCTCTATAGCAGCGTTTCCCAAACTTTTGACATATGTGTACTCCTTCTATAATTTTTGTAATGCTGAGTACCCCTCGTACTCATGAGAACGTAGAATTAGGCGCAGCTAAGCACGGTGCAGTGCATATCCCCACCAAACTCCGGTGCAACACGTACCCCCACCAAACTCCTCCTGTACCCCTGGGGGTACGCGTACCACACTTTGGGAAACACTGCTCTATAGGGTAGGGCAACGGAGACTCTAGAGGCTGGGGCTATGCATTCCCCTAGGCTGATGTCCTAATGAAGGAAGTGTTCCACCCAAGAAAGATGTTATCTGTGGTGTGGGAGATGGACTCAGCACAGGGATTCTGGAGGCTGGCCCTACAGATCTCTCCCCAGAGCTACAAAATCCAGTATCTGCTCATTGGAATTTAGTCTGCTCTGCCATCCCTCAGCTGGAGCCCAGGGTGAGTGGCTGTGAATGAGATTTTGTGCATTGGCCCTTAAAGAGGTCACCTGTGTCCCTAGCTGTCTCTAAATCTCCCTGGTGGACATAATCCCCACCAAATTTCACAGCTAGATATGTGGTTGCTTCTTCCTGGCTCTGGTGCTCTGGGATGGGAAGCCTGGCTTCTTGTTCAGACACCACAAACCTCAGCATATCTTTGCAGGTGAGATATCCCTCCAGAATCTCAGCTCATGCCCAAGGGAGGAGGGAGAAGCAGCCCTTTACACATATCTGCCCTTTCTACCTGTTTTGATATGTCTTCTTCTGTAAATTCTTGGGTATAATACATCTGTTTAGATAATCTTCAGTTGGTTAGTCAGGTTGATTGTTCTATAATTTAATTGTAATTCTAGTTTGATCCTAGGAAGTGGTGTGTGTGACTCCCTTCTACTTTGCCTCTATCTTGGATTGGGCTACATTCCATTTGTTTTAAAATGCTATGCGTGAATGTATATAATTCTATATAATAAAAGCCTAATATGCTAAGTGCCTGGTCATTCAGTCATCTATTCAACCAATCAAAGCATAATATATTAGTGTGATATGCTAAGGCTGTTCAACCACTCACTATGATGTGCACTGATCACCAGGGGCCAGACAGTTGACTGTGGACCAATCACTATGACATGTACTGACCACTAGGGGGAAGACGCTCCAACTGGTAGGTTAGCTTGCTGCTAGGGTCCAGCCCAATCAGGACTGATTAAGACTGTCCTGACATGCCCTGGAGCCCTCCTGTGGTCTCCCTGGCTGGCCAACCTGCTGTGTCTCTCCCCAGCCTCGATTGTGCACCATTGGGATCCCTCAGCCTGACCTGCGCCCTCACACAATCTCCCCTCGGGGGATGTCGAAGAGCTGGTTTTGGCCCGATCCTACAGGCGAGGCCGAGGAACCCCACTGGTACACGAATTTGTACACTGGGCCTGTAGTATACAAGATGCACATGTGTCAAACACAAGGCCCGCGGGCCAAATCAGTCCCGCCAGGCCTTGCAATGTGGCCCGCACCGCGCTGTCATCACTGCACTCCGCTGCGTTTCCATCACAATGACAGTTTATGACTGTTCAGTAAACCATTCGGCCCGCGATTTAGGCTGGATTTTAGATTTTGGCCCCTTCTCTGATTGAGTTCGACACCCCTATACTATCTAATAAAAGAGAGACATGCAAATTGACTGTACCTGTGCTATGCCCACAAGCCACACCCATCAGCCAATCAAGAGTGAGTATGCAAATTAACCCAACAAATGTGGTAGTGGCCATAGAGCTGGAACAAGCAGCAGGCTTGAGTTACCCCAGTGATGGAGGAAGTCAAGCTTCCCACCCACTTTGGCTGGTCCTGACCTCCACTCAAGGCTACAAAGTTTCAATTATAGAAGATAAGTAAATCCAAACAAAAATGGCAGCAGCCACGAAGCTGGAGAGAGCAGGAGGTTTGGGTTGCCCACCCTGGCCTACCCTGGCCTCCGTTCAAGGCTACAAAGTTTCAATTATAGAAGATAAATAAATACCAGATACCATGGCCTCTGCTTGGGTTGCTGGGAGCGTGGCTGGCCTGCAAACCACCACAGGCTCCTTGCACAGGTCATCCCATGCCCCCAGAGAATCCCCCACCCTGATCTGGGACACCCTTCAGGGCAAACTAGCTGGCCCCCACCCTTGCACCAGGCCTCTGTCTTATCTAATAAAAGAGTAATATGCAAATTGATCATTACTACAACACAAGATGGCTGCCCCATGTGGTCAAAGATCCTGACCCCATGTGGACACAAGATGGCCAGCAGGGGAGGGCAGTTGGGAGAGACCAGGCCTGCAAGGCAGGGCAGTTGTGGGCAATCAGGCCACCAGGGGAGGGCAGTTGGGAGGGACCAGGCCTACAAGGAAGGGCAGATGGGGGCAATCAAGCCTGCAGGAGAGGGCAGTAAGAGTTGGTCAGGCTGGCAGAGAAGGAAAGTTGGGGGCAATTAGGCCTACAGGGAAGGACAGTTGCGGGGGAACCCAGGCCTGCAGGAGAGAGCAATTGGGGGGGACTAGGCCTGCAGGGGAAGGGCAATTAGGGGCAATCAGGCTGGCATGGGAGCAGTTAGACATCAATCAAGCTGGTAGGGGAGTATTTAGGAGGTAATCAGGCTGGCAGGCAGAAGCAGTTAGGGGCAATCAGAAATGCAGGTGAGCAGTTGGGAGCCCAGCAGTCCTGGATTGTGAGAGAGATGTCCTAAATTAGAGAGGGTGCAGGCTGGGCTGAGGGACACACACCCCCATGCATAAATTTCATGCACTGGGCCTCTAGTATAAGAGTAAAAGTTCAGGAAGAATATACATGCAACAATTAAAGCTTATGCTGGGGGGGAGGAAGACTGCTTTCTGTATACCAGTGGATTGATTTATTTTTCTTAAATGTAGCATGTACTTAGCAAAAATAATAGAAATATTTCTACTTAATGGAAGAAAACATTGTTTTTAAAAGTTTGTTTATAGAAATTGTAATTCTGGAAAGCTCCTCAAAAGATCTTTACAGCGTGAATGATCAGTAGCTGTTGAAATTACCTTTACCATAAGGAACATAAATAAGGATGGGAGAAGAAAGAAGGAGTCAGATTTTCAAACAGGAAGAGATGTAAATGAAAGTGTAACAGCAGCTTCAAGAATTCAGTCAGCAACCTAGCCTCTGCTTTTGTGTTTGTAGTTCACTTTTTATTTCATGTCTCTGAAAAAATAAAAAGAGTATTGTTCTCTGTAGAAATATATTGATTCTTTTTCTTTATACCTTGAGAAAGCAACATTACATTCAAACAGAAGCATTAACCTTGTAGCATGTTAAAATCTTTTCTCAGTCAGCTGTTTATTATCTCAAACTATCCTTCCCATACTCCTCTTAAATTGGCTTTGCTTTAAATTCACAGTGTGAGTGCTAACTATAAAATTTTAAGACTTTATTTTTTTAGAGCAGTTTATGTTCATAACAAAATAACAAAAATGGTTTAGTTTTAAATTCACAGTGTGAGTGCTAGCTATACAGTTTTTAAGACTATTTTTCTAGCAGTTTTAGGTTTATAATAAAATGAAGGTGAGGTACAGGGATTTCCAGTACAATTCCTGCTCCCATGCATGCATAGCTTCCTCTGATCCATTGCTAAACTGCTACATTTGTTACAGTTGATGAACCTACATTAACACATCATTATCACCCGAAGTTCATAGTTTACATTAGGATTCACTCTTGGTGTTGTACTAACTATATACTTTTTTTAGCCTTTTACATGAGGCAAATAACTTTTCATATAAGATTTAGAAAATGGGGCTTGGCTTTGTATTATATCATCTAAAAATTCATTCATATACTTTCTGTTGTTTCTAACTTGGGTATTAATATAAAATACCTGACATATATTTTTAATACTTCTTATTTTAACTCTTAAAAATAGGTCATTTGTCTCACTTTTTGTTTTAATTAGGTCGCTGGGAAAAAGGCATATGCTACAAGTCAAAACACTTATGAAGCAGTTAAATCACTGTGGACAAAAAACAACAAAAAGGAGTCACTTCCTGAACCTAAAGAAAAAATTAAGGTGGAGTTTAAAGGGACCAAAAGTTTTATTTGGGTGGGTGTTGGCTTGCAATGGGAGTCCTGGACAGAGGTCAACAACAGAATTACAAAAAGATGAAGGAACATAATACCTTTGCATGCTAAACTTTTATAAAATATTTCATTCTTTTAGTAAAATGATTTACTCATGAGGAAAATCTTTTTGCTCAACAGCTAGAAAGCTCTGCTGAAATAGAAATACCTGCAAAAACAGCTCAGAACCCGAAGCACTCAATGGGTTTGCCAACAGAACCCAGATCTGAAATGAAGACAAAATCAGAATTCACCTCAGGTTTGTTTGTATAACTCAATTTTGTTTCTATTATTTATTTACAATTTTTCTGATTTTATAATTATTAGTTTAAACGTATTTATGTTTTTCCATATTTTTCTTTCACATATCTGTAGTCTGTATGTATTTTTAGGGTATGAGGTACTCAGGTACCTGGGACTTTTCTTATTGCGACTGATAGTTCATAACACAGATATTTTCACTGGGGGTATAGAGTAGCTCTGGCAGGTTGGATGAGTGAAGAATTTACAACCACTTTATAAATGTGAACTTTTTAATCGGGTGGAGTGAAATGAACCTTTCTTCACTCTGTCTCTTTACAGGCTATAAATATGAGCCACATCTAGGTAGAAGAATATCAGCTTTCCATTTCTTATGTTATTTATGCCATCAGCAGTCTTGGCTTTCCCCATCAGTTTTATTTAGTTTACATACTAGGAGAACTTTCAACATCAAATTGTAAAAATAGCACCAATTATAATACTAATAGCTTTGCTAATCCTATCTAATGAAAGAGTAATTTGCAAATTAACCATCACTCCACTACAAAAATGGCAGTGTCCATAGCGCCAGGGTGGGGTGCTAGTGTCCCACTCCCAGGCTGCAGAGGGAGGAAGGGCTACAGACAGAATGCTGGGCTGCTGGGCCGGGGACTTGCTCTGAGCCACTGTCTCAAGATTTGGGACATGCCCAGCAGACAGACGCTGGGCGGGGGGCTGCTCAGAGCCACTTCTCCATGCTTGGGACACGCCCCTGGGCCAGCAGACAGAAGCCCAGCTGACAGAAAGTGGGCATTGGGTTGGGGGTGATCTCTGAGCTGCCACAGCACGACTTGGAACACCCCAAGTGGACAGACACTGGGCTGGGGCCATGCTCAGAGCTGCCTCCAAGTGGCTTAGGACACACCCCCTGCCCAGCAGACAGAAGTCCTGGGGACACAATGCAGGGGGTCCTCTGTGCATGAGCTGCAGAGGAAACACCTTTTCTGAAGGCTCATTGGCTAAGCTCCCTGTAAGCTGCCTCTCACAGTGTTCTTGGTAATTTGAGTAATAAGAATCCAAGAAGGTGATCTAGGGTTTTTCCACCACACTCCTGGAAGAAAAACTAAGGTCTGCTGCTGCAGGGGCTAAGAAATTTCATATTTTACCCTAGCCAGTTTGGCTCAGTGGATAGAGCCTCGGCCTGCCAATCGCAGGGTCTGGGTTCGATTCTGATCAAGGTCATACACCTAGGTTTCAGGCTCCTCCCTGGCCAGGGCTCACGCACGAGACAACCAATCGAAGTGTCCCTCTCACATTGATGTTTCTCTCTGTATTTCCCTCTCTCTTCTCTAGAAAACAAAGGAAACATATCCTCAGGTGAATAAAAAAGAAATGTCATATACTATGAAAGACACATCTTGAAAGTGCTTAAAGAAAGTTGTCATTTTTTTCATGGTGAAGGGACTGGAGTCCCTGTTGATGAAAACACCTTGGCGGCTGTGACCATGGCAGCAGCAGTGGGGTGATGGGGCTGGTGCCTTCCTCTGATCAGCCCAGTCACCTCCCGCAGAGGAAGGCCAGATTGTGGCTTAGGCCCGCTTCCCGTCAGTAGGACATTCCCTGAGGTCTCCCAGTCTGTGAGAGGAGGCAGGCTTGGCTGAGGGACTCCCCCCACAGTGCACGAATTTTGTGCACCAGGCCTCTAGTATTAGATAATGACAAGTAGAACTTTGTGGTACCAGTTAGTGACAATTATACCTTCTACACAAATACTGTAATAGTTTTACTGTGATCAATAAGAAGGTAACAGAGTGCTTAAAGCATTTCAATATGTATTCAAATAAATTCACCAGTCACTGGCTTACATAGGTTTGTCTATTTGTACAGTGTCAATGGTACTACCCATTAAGTTGTCTTACTGCAAAGGAAATAGGACTAACTCAAAGGTAAAGAATTAGGAAATAATGATAATATTTCATTATTCAGGTGCCCTTATTGAGCACCTCCTTTGTAGTGCAAAGAGCTATAAATATATTGTGATATTCAATCCTCACCCAAAAACAAAACAAAACAAAAACCTCTGATGTACATGTAATTGTAATCAGTTTATGATGAAGAGACTGAGACTCTGTACCTTTCCCAAAATTCTACAGCTCATGAGGAGCAGAGTTGTGTTTACAGATTAGATCTACCTGACACCAAAGTTCAAAATCTTTCCATTGTGTACAAAGTAGCTAATTTAAAACCAGAGTTTAGTTTCTGATTTCAGCCTCTTCCTTTCTCATGTAATCTTTATAAAAGCTGTTACTGAGTAACAAACCTGATTTGTTTTACACTTTTCCTCTGTCACCTCTCCTTTTTAACCAAAATGGCATACAGTTTTTACTCTCTCTCTCTGAGTAATCTACAGTCCACAAGTACCGTATTTTTCGGACCATAAGACGCACTTTTTCCCCCCCCAGAAGTGTGGGGAAAAAGTCCCTGCGTCTTATGGTCCAAATATAGCCTACACATATACTTTAAAAAAAAAAGTTTTTTTACTTGCCCAGCTCTGTGTGGTCTCTGTGTGCTTGCCCAGCTCTAAAATGGTTCTAAATGCTGCTGTTTACTTTACAGGGTTGATTACATGTGTTTATGACTGTGATGTTGGGTTTTACTGCACATAAAATATTTTAGGACACTATTTGTTTCAGAATCTTTTTTTCTTCATTTCCCTTCTCTAAAAACTGGTGCGTCTTATGGTCCGGTGTGTCTTATGGTCCGAAAAATACAGTATATAATATATCTAGTCATTTTTCTAAATGCCTGTCAATTCCAGAGTATCTTTGTGAAGTTGAAACATGTTACAGTTTTACAATGGGACCAATCCATCCCTAACCAATATCATTATTTAGATGATAGATTAGATAAGATAGATAGATAGATAGATAGATAGATAGATAGATAGATAGATTCTGGAACCCTTTACCCCTCCCTTCCCATGGGTAACTTGGTATATGAAAAGCATTCTAGGGATACATGAGAAAAGAGACATGCCAGTACCATTTATCCTTATCACATATTATTCAGAGTTTATTATGCAGTAGACCCTTGTGATTCATCATTTCCATCCTTCACTTTTTACATGCAATTCCAAAGGTCTAAGACCTGAAAAAACAGTAGTAATTATAAGCACAGATTTAAAATAAGACATGTGTCTGAAATCCTTAAGCCTCAGTCTCTTATTCAAAAATTGGGGACCACAATAGTATTTTTCCTCACATAGTTGTGAGAATTAAATGCAATAGTGCATGTAAAGCACAGAGTACAGTATCAAGCACATACTAGTCTCTCCATGAATGTTAAAAGGTATTATTATCATTTGACTACTGTAATTAGCCATTTGACATTAAACAAATTTATTTTCATCGAGCACACTTTGGGAGCATATTAATTAGCTGGGGAAACTAGTCATGGCCATCATCAATCAACTTATAGAATAGATTGGGTGAACTCGCAAACTACACACACACACACACACACACACACACACACACACACACACACATACTAGAGGCCCAGTACATGAAATTTGTGCACGGGAAAGGGGTATCCCTCAGCCCAGCCTGCACCCTCTCCAATCTGGGACCCCTTGAGGGATGTCTGACTGCCCGTCTAAACGGGCAGTTGGAAATACCTCTCACAATCCAGGACTGCTGGCTCCCAACTGTTCACCTGCCTGCTTTCCTGACCGCTTTTACCTTCCAGTCTGATCACCCCCTAACCACTCCCTTGCCAGCTTGATTGATGCTTAACTGCTCCCCTGTCAGCCTGTTTGCCCCTAACTACCCTCCCCTTTAGGCCTGGTCACCCCTAACTGCCCTCCCCTGCAGGCCTGGGTCCCCCCCAACTGTCTTTCCCTGCAGGCCCAGTTACCCCCAACTTCCCTCCTCTGTTGGCCTGGTCACCCCTAACTGCCCTCTCCTGCAGACTTAATTGCCCCCAACTGCCCTCCCTTGAAAGCCTGGTCCCTACCAACTGCCCTCCCCTGCTGACCTGGTCATCCAAACTGTCCTTCCCTGCTGTCTCCAACTGACCTCCCCTGCTGGCCTGACTGCCCACAGCTGCCCTCCCCTGCCAGCTATCTTGTGGCGGCCATCTTGTGACCACATGGGGGTGGCGATTTTGTGTGATGGTGTGATGGTCAATTTGCATATTGCCTCTTTATTGTATAGGATACTAGCAACTGTAAATCTATCTACTTTTGCCCTCCCCTGTACAAGGGAGGGCTGAAATAATGAACTCAAATAGAGGTCAATAGAAAAGAGCCCAGCTGAAGCAGAGAGAGCAAAAAGAATGGGAAGACTAGAAAGTATGAGAAAGTATCTTGTAGGGACTAGTATATTTAAGTATTCCAATTACTGAGGACCTGAATGCTGGATATCATCCCAATTTTATACAAAAGAAACAAAAATATAATGTCTAACACTTTTAACTTCACTCAGCAATTTATTACTGATCTGTCCCATGTTTTGTAATATAAATGAGATTATATGTAAACTAAATTATTAGTCAACAGATGTCACTAGTGGCTATTTATAACAATAACTCATTACTATTTTATAACTTTACACACCTTTATTCCTTTCCTGTTTTAACACTAGCTTTTTTAAAAAAGCCTGCTAAGAACTTTATGCACAAAGTGTTTTTATTAGAGATAAAAATAAGGAAGTACAAAGAAACACAATATAACGATGGAGATTAAGAGTCAAGATAGAGATTTTATGATGCCTAATCTTTTGGGAGGATAGAGAACCTTTGATAAGAGAGGTGAAATTAGCCTTAATTACTCAGAATATCATGAGATTGAATCTTCTAAAAAGGCAGGAATAGAATTACATAGGCTAGCTGGTTCTAAACCAGATGGATCCACATCACAATTATTTGAGTTTTTTGTTTTCTGTTTTCTAAAATTCACTCAAACTAAGAAATATAAGTCAAAATCTCCCGTGGTGAGGCCTCCAAGCAGGTGGTTTTAGGAAAAACTCATTCCTTTATTTAATAATGTCTGACATAAGCTATAGGTAAATTAAAAATTTGAAGCCTTTCAACAATTTTTGAGAAGTGACAGCCTAAAGGTAAAGGGGCCTTTCACATTTGTGTGAGCTGAATTTTTGACTAGATTTTTGAACAAGAACATAAATTGTGAAAATAAATAGAAGTGTTAGAGAACTTAGTCAGTTTATGGCATTTTAAAGCAAATTAGACAGATTCAGACTTATATAAAATATTTGTTACATGCTTATTGTAGTATGCCTGATAAAACTATTCCCTAGAAACACTTTTTACTGGCACCGAGCAAAGGCTGCCACAAGATGGCAGTAAAGATACATTTTGGAAGGGAGCAGGGAGAACCACTTAATGTTTTTATATGCTATGGGCCCCTTCTCAGAATAATGTTTTTTAATGCATTAAATAAAATACATAGTAATATATGACCTCCTTAAATGTATTAATCAACAATACATAAGAAAATACCTAATAAAGGCCATAGTTTTGAAGTAGTTGTAAGTATAAATATTTTAAGATAACTATAACTGCAGTGTAATACAAAAATATCTGCTGTTTCTATTAGTGATAGAATCTAAGATACTGTTAATACTATTTTGGTTTGTTTCTTACATTCATTATTGAAGTAAATGTCAATTTTTAATTAGAGGTTAATGAAAGTAAAGATAAATTCCCCCCATCCAAGTTCATAGATCACACGAATTCTATCCACAGACCTCCCTAAACTTAAGCACTGCATTCTATGGAAAACTGTATCAGTTCCATGGGTAGTGATTACTAATGATCTGGTTGTTTGTAATGTTTTTACTGGTGAAGTTACATATAGGTATATCATTTTCCTAAAATAACAGGTGTAAAAGAAATCATTGTATATACATTTATTTCTTATCTTTGTCTTTCACCGTAAAACTGGAAATTAAATGTCTGTGGGGGGGAAAGGTGTGTTTCAAAAATGTAGTAAAATCATTTAAAAACCAATCAGATTTTAAAAAACATATTTAAAATAAAAACTTCCTAAAAATATTTTGTTTCTGATGTCATAAAATATAAAAGTAGTTCTCTCTTGCTTGCTTGGCACATACAGAGTATTATACACAGAACTTTGTGCACATTATTATATTGATTGCTAAAATAGTTATATGACATTGTTACTCCTCCTAATCTCCATTTTACTGACGAGCTTAGGTGGTTGTGTTGGGGATCAGGTAAACCTGGGTTCATGTTACTCCTCCACTTACCAGCTGAGTGACATTGGCCAAGTTTCTTAACATCTTTAAATTAAAATTTTTTTATCTGTAAAACAAAGATAATATAAATGTCTCATCTATCTCTTGGTGGTATTCAGAGACAATGCATGAAAATAACATAGCATCCTTCCTGGCATACAGGCAGCTGATCAAAATCACCAGTGATATACACATTGCCAAATCGAGGAATCAATTCTCAATCCCACTTCATGCAATCCATCAGTAGCTTTTAACACAGATTATTGCTCCCACCTCCAAGAAACAGTCTTTTCACTTGGCCTTTGGGATACCACTTGCTTTTGGTTCTCTTACTTTACTGACTGGCTGTTCCTTTTCAGTCTTCTCTGCTATATTCTCCTAGTCTTCTTAACTTCAAAAAATTGGAGTATACAAATGGCTCAATGTTTAGTCCTCTTTTCTGAGGCTCTAGATCACATGTGTCAAACACAAGGCCCACGGGCCAAATCCATCCCGCCAGGCCTTGCAATGTGTCCCGCACCGCGCTGTCATCACTGCACTCCGCTGCGTTTCCATCACAATGACAGTTTATGACTGTTCAGTAAACCATTCGGCCCGCGATTTAGGCTGGATTTTAGATTTTGGCCCCTTCTCTGATTGAGTTCGACACCCCTACTCTAGATGATCTCATGTAGTCCCATAGTTTTAAATACTGCATATAGGCTAGGACTGTGAAAATTATAAACCAGCCCAGACTTCTCCTGCAGTCTATAGATTCACATTGCTAGCTGCTTAGTCAACATCTGTACATCTTTAGATGACTATTTAGGAGTTCAAATTTAACATATCCAAAGCTTAACACTTCATTTGCCTCCCCCAAATATGCTTCTCCCGCATTTTTTCCCTATCTCAATAAATGACAACTCCATTCTTGCAGGGTTTTTTTTTTTTTTTTAAGTTACAGTGTCTCTCACACAATATGTACAATCCATTTGGGAAATCCTGTCCATTATACCATAGGACTTCTCCATAACCCAGTCCCTTTTCACCACCTTCACTGCTACTTCCCTAATTAAAGCCAATAGCATCTTTCTCCTGCTGTACTGAAATAGCTTCCTAAACCATCTCCCTTCTTTCCCCATTTTCCCCCTACAGTCACTTCTCCCCATAGCTAAGAGTGATCTTAAAAAAAAAAAAAACAACATATCATTCCACTCCTCTGCTCAGAACTGCCTACTAGCTTCTCTTCTCACTTAAAATAAAAAATAAAAACTTTATGTCTCTTTGTGTCTTAGCATTCTATTGTTTTCTGAACATGTCTCTTATTACTCTCACTGCATCCATCATCACCACATCTTGCCAACTCTGTTTCAGCCCTATTGGCCATTTTGTGGTTATTCAGACATGCTTCAGGTATGTTATACTTGCTCTGTTCTGCTCCTCTAAGGCATTTCCCTAAGATATCTATGGGCTCACATCCTTATCTCCTTCAATTACACTTTTCTAGAAAGCTTTCTCTGGCCACCCTATTTAAGATTGCAAATTACCCATGTACTCCATATGCCCCTCCCTGTTTTATCTTTCTGCATAGTGCTTACCTCTATCTGACATATTATTTATTTTACTTAATTGTCTGTTTTACCCAACTTGAATGTTATGTCCATATTGGGAGAGATTTTTAACTTTTTCCCCCACTGATGTATTCCTAGTTCCAACAATAAATTTGCTGAGTGAATGACTAACTTTTTTTCATTTTAATACTTTACCAGGTGCTACACAGTTTATACCTGACCCCAAGCTCATGGATCATGGACAGTCCCATCCAGAAGATGTAGATATGTACAGCACTAGAAGCTGAAATAGTCTACGTAGAGAATTACAAGATGTGTGAAGTTCCAAATGATAATGAAAGAAACCGTGTAATGGGTAATTGTGATTCATAGAGCATAATTTAAAGCAAATTTATCCCATACATCTTCTAATGTGCAGTTTGACCAATCAAGGAAGTGATTAAAACACAAACAGAAAATACAATCGAAACATTATTAAATGATTGGTGAAGAGGCAGAGATGAAGATGCATTTGATGACAAGGGTGTTTATAAACAACAAATAGAGTAAATATGTGAACAGTTATGAGATGAGACTAGGATCTGAAAAAATATGTATGCACTTATATACACATAGATTTGCTTTAGCTTTTTCCCACTATCAATTCCCAACTGTGACATTAATGTCAGCTAAATTAGAATGGTTTGTGGAAGGATATATTCTCTATCCTCTTTTTTCATTTCCCAGAGCAGGAATAAAATATCCATATTTTATGACAATTGGGCTTGGCTTTGTCTCTTTGTTTTATTAATATTGACTTCTCTTAAATGTTCCAAAACACCTGTAACTATTTAGGAGAGCCATATGCTCCATGGGACCTTCAATGCTGCTTAGCAGAACTTCCCATTCCTAGGTAGTTTCCTATTCTGTTCCTCAGGAGAGGTTATTACAGACTTTTTATTCTCAAGTCTCCTATACCTGCCAAAGATGACTGTGTTTCCTATTACATAGAGGGGGAAAAAACATGAGGTATTAGTCATGACTATTCACAACTTTTTCTCATCTACCTTTAAGGCTTACCTCTTTTCAGCCATACCATCCCCCTTTTCTAAGTCTAATGCTTCTATTTGGGTTCCTAATCTCATTCCTTCCATTTTTTTTCCAATACCGTATTATATCTTCAGTCTTTGGTTTTTCTTTTCACTCAGTTATTCTACCTCAATCTCTAAATAGCTTCTGATCTTCTTTATCTAAAAAAAAAATTAATAAAAACATTTCTCTAACCTTGCCTTTATTCTTGAGCTACATTTTCTTTCTATAATTGTCATATTTTATTAAAAAGTAATTAATGTCACTTTCTTACTTCCTCACTATCAATTCCTAACTTATGACATCCTGACCTTTATACTTACTTGAATTTTCTGTAATTATTCACTATTTACCGACCACTCTCTCTTTGAAACATACTCCTTCCCTTTGCTCTCTGTCATTCCTGATTCTCTTGTTATTCTTCATTCTTCTCTTGCTCTGAATCCCTTAAATGCCTAGGTTTCTCAGGTTATATTCCTAGACTTCTTTTTCTCATTCAATATGCATTCTAATTTTCTTTTTTATTAGTCCTCACCTGAAGATATTTTTTCTAGTGACTTTTAGAGAGAGGAGAGGGTAGGAGAGGGAGAGGGAGACTGGGATGGAGGAAGAAAGGAGAGGGGGGAGGAGAAAAACATTGTTGTGGATTTAAGAGAGACACATTGACTGGCTGCCTTCCACATGTACCCTAACCAGCAACTCTGGTATTTGCCCTTGACTGGGAATCCAACCGGAGACCCTTTGGTACATTGGTGGACTTTGTAACCACTGAGCAACACTGGCCCATAGCTATGCATTCTCATTTTCATTCAACATACTCACTGGCTTCAGGCACCATTTATATGTCCTTATTACTTATATGTTCAGCTCCAATTTGTCTCCAGAGCTGTAGACCTATCTTTCTAATTATTTATTAGTTGTATCCACCTTATATTCCATAAATGTCCCTAATGTCAAAATGCCTTAGATTAAATTGTCTCTGCCTCTCTCTGTTTCTAGGATCTATTTTACCTTCTCTCCTTGCTCTCATTGCAGTCTTCATCATCATATTTCTAAAGTATTACAGTAGCCTTCTAGTTAATCTGCCTACTATCAGTCTTGCTCTCTGTCACTTTGAAATGTGTTCTTCTTGGAAGCAATAATAAACTAATTAATAGAAGCTTATTTCTAACTGGTTTGGCTCAGTGGATAGAGCATCAGCCTGCGGACTAAAAGGTCCCAGGTTCAATTCCAATCAAGAGCATGTACCTTGGTTGCAGGCACATACCCAGTAGGGAGTGTGCAGGAGGCAGCTGATCGATGTTTCTCTCATAGATGTTTCTAAATCTCTATCCCTCTCCCTTCCTCTCTCTAAAAAAAAATCAATAAAATATATTTTAAAAATAAAATAGTAGCTTAGATAAATAAGAGTCTATTTAAAGTCTAGAATTAAGCAGTACAGAGTTGGTACAGGAACTCATTGGTGACATCAAGGATCTGAACATTTTTCTTTCCACTCTAGTATGTTGATTTGTAACTTCATGTTCACAAAATGGCTACTGTACCTCTGGGAAACACATTCACATTCAAAGTAGGAAGAAAGGTTAGGACAAACTGTGCATCAGATGCTTCTGACCCCCATTTATCAGAAAAGCAAATGCTTTATTAGAAACCCTCTCAGAAGCCTTTTCTCTATATCTTGACTAGAGCTTTTCACATAGCCACAACAAAGGTGACTCAAAGGAGATTGGAAAATCATTTGTTTTCTATGATAAGGCAAGGGAGAAGGGATTTGGAATAGGTGTTGAGTTTGAAATAACATACAGTGTCTGCTACCCTATTCTTTTAACCTGTCATATTATTATGACACTATAGGCCTGGTGCACTAAATTCATGCACGGGGGTGGGGGGGGGGGCGGCAGGGATTGTCCCTCAGCCCAGCCTGCACCCTCTCCAATCTGGGACAACCCTCTCACAATCCAGGACTGCTGGCTCCCAACTGCTCACCTGCCTGCCTTCCTGATTGCCCCTAACCGTTTCTGCCTGCCAGCCTGATCACCCCCTAACCACTGCCCTGCCAGCCTGATTGATGTCTAACTGCTCCCCTGACAGCCTGTTTGCCCCTATCTGCCCTCCCCTGCCGGCCTGGTCACCCCTAACTGCCCTCCCCTGCAGGGTTGATTGCCTCCAACTGCCCTCCCTTGCAAGCCTGGTCCCTCTCAACTGCCCTCCCCTGCTGGCCATCTTGTGGTGACCATCTTGTATCCACAAGGGGGCAGGATCTTTGGCCACATGGGGGCACCTATCTTGATCTTGTGTATTGGAGTGATGGTCAATCTGCATATTACCCTTTTATTAGATAGGATAGAGGCCTGGTGCTTAGGTGGGGGCACCTGGTTTGCCCTGAGGGGTGTCCCGGATCAGGGTGGGGGTTCTTTGGGCATGGGCTGGCCTGAGTGAGGGGCCTATGGTGGTTTGCAGACAGGCCATGCCCCCCCCCCGCCCCCCCCAGGGACCCAAGCCGAGGCCCTGGTATCTGGGATATATTTACTTTCTACAGTTGAAACTTTGTAGCCTGGAGCAAAGTCAAGCCTCCTGCTTGCTCCCTGGCAGCAGTCATTTCTTGTTTACCTTCTATAATTGAAACTTTGTAGCCTGGAGTGGAGGCTTAGGCCTGCTAGGGCAGGCGGGGAAAGCTTGGCTTCTTCCTGGCCAGAAAAACCCAAGCCTCTGTGGCCACAGCCATCTTGGCTGGGGTTAATTTGCATATGTGATCTGATTGGCTGGTGGGTGGAGTGATGATTAATTTGCATATTGCTCTTTTACCCTGTTTCCCCGAAAATAAGACAGTGTCTTATATTAATTTTTTCTCCCAAAGTTGCGCTAGGTCTTATTTTCAGGGGATGTCTTATCTTTCTATGTGCTAGGTCTTATTTTCGGAGGATGTCTTATTTTCGGGGAAACACTGTATTAGGAAGGATAGTTGTCTTTCTTACTATTATAGACTGTCTTTTGGAAATCTTCAGTCCCTTATCATTGCCTACAGGATCAAACCAATACTCCTTAGCATGCATACAAGGTCCTTCATATATGCTACCAGATCAACTTTAATCCTATCTTCCCTCTCCCACCACACTACTGCCAATGTATATTTTTTGTATAGCATACCACTTGCTTCTTGAACATGTTCTGCTCTTTCATTATTCTCTCTCTGCATATGCTTGTGCCTCCCCTTAGAATATTTTTCTGTCTCGACCTGTTCCATATTCCATCTTCCTCACCATTCAAGTCCAGTTCCAGTATCATTGCTCTACAAGGTTGGATTTTTGTACATTCTGATGCACTTTGTACTTATAGTTGTGATAGTCTATACAACTTAATATAAAATTAAACTAGTATTGTTTCACAGATAAGGCTCCACTTGGTACCTACTTGTAGGTATGAGACAATCATCTTTGTGTGGCTTTTATGCCCATGACACACCCTGGTACATAGTAGGAACTCACATTTTGTACCATGCTGGTTGTAATACAGGATGCAAAAATAATTATAATTCTATCAAAGGACATATATTCTACTTGAAAGGATGGAAACATATAGAAATACAGTGGTATGAGTATTATCTTCCCTACGTATAATCAAAGAGCTACAGATGATTAAAGATGGGATGTAGTTCTGAGATCATGTCAAGTTGGGAAAGCAGTTCACTTACTAGTTTTTTATGAGTCATGTCTTCAACATTAGCTATAATATTTTAAATGCTTTTTTTGTACTTCAGATTTGTTTATAATCAAACATATCTATATTTCATCAAATCTAAGACACATTGTTTATCTCTAATAAAATATGTTAAGGTGTAAAAAGTAGAAGCATCTTAAATTTATTGGTCGTCAACTAAGTAATTGCGGATTTTTTAAAGAAAATCAAAGACAATTTTTTCATGGAACTAAATAACTTTATTCTGTAATGTATTGCCCATTTTGATCAATGACCTTTTGCCATCTTTCAGGCAGCATCATAATCCCACGTTCAAAAAACTTCTGGTTTTTATTAGCAAAAAACTGAATCAGGTACGATTTGACATCATCATCATTATTGAAATTTTTACCATTCAAGGAGTTTTGTAAAGATCGAAACAAAAAGTAATCAGATGGTGCAAGGTCAGGACTATATGGTGGATGTGGCAAAACATCCCAACCAAGCTCCATTAATTTTTGCCGAGTGACCAAAGATGTGTGTGGCCTTGCATTGTCATGATGGAATACAACACCTTTTCGATTTCTCAATTCGGGCCGCTTTTCTTCAACTGCATTGTTTAATTTCGTTAGTTGTTCAATGTAGACATCAGAATTGATCGTTCGGTTGGGTGGTAAGAGTTCAAAGTAGACAATTCCTTTGTAATCCCACCAAACTGATAACAAAACCTTCTTTTGATGAATATCAGCTTTTGATGTTGTTTGAGTTGGTTCATCTGGCCTGCTCCACGATCTTTTCCACTTGATATTGTTGTAAACAACCCATTTTTCATCGCCAGTTATCAGTCGTTTTAAAAATGGATCATTTTCATTACGTTTCTTTAGCAAATCGCAGCTGCTAATGCGTTGCGTTAACTGTGATTCTTTCAGTTCGTGAGGAACCCATGTATCGAGTTTTTGAACATAGCCAAGTTGTTTTAAGTGATTTTCAATGCATGTATGTGATACATGAAGCT